AAAATTTAATAGTGTTACGTCTTTAAAATTTTTAAAAATTTGGGGACTAATTTATAACCAAAAAAATTAGAATTAACATGCAATATTTGTTATATTTTGGAGATTAAATTGAAAATTTGCCCTTAAAAATTACTTATAATGCTCTATTTAATTGATTTTAGTTTTTATTTTAGGCTTTAATTGATTTTTCCTATTAAGCTTATAATGCTTTCCGTTTTCTTTTTCTTGTTTGACATTTTATTCTTTTGTTGACAAGTATTTTCTTTCCCCCTCGGAAAATAATATATTTTTTTCTTTTTTCTTTTTTGTTTTTAATATCTCTATTTTTATTTTTATATTCTTAAAAATAATTATTTTTTTATAATAATAAATTTCAATTACAATATTTTATTATAATTAAAACTTTTTTAACCTATCAATATAAATTTACATAAAATGATACGTATTTTAAAATTTAGATAAAATGATGTCTCAAAGTATGGTTTCATAATGACAAATTACATAATAATGTTAAATAGTTAATTGAATATTTCATTGAAATGAATTAGTTCAAATTGTAACGCAGTTGCTCATAATTTAGCTCATATTGCATGTAGTATTTACAATTTTCAGTATGAAATAATTTATTTTTAAATATGAATGTAATATTTTTTAGTTAATTAATTACGATTGTTTATTTATTTATTTAATTTTTTTGTAAAAAAAATAATGTTACATCACGCTGCAATAAAAATTAAAAAATATTGATGAATTTGTTGATAGAAATATAATTTAATTTAATTTAATGTTTTATCTTACAAATAATTAAAATTTAAACATGGATGTGACCATGATATGTATCAACTACTTTTTTTTTCAAATTTTCTATTTATATTATTATTTTAAATTAATTTAATTTATTTTTTTCAAAATTTTCAAGAAATTACATTCTAACTTCCATTAATTAAAAACTCACCTAAAAGTAATTTTTTTTCCAATTTTTCTTAAAAAAAATTAATTTTTATTTATCAATAAAATCAACATTCATATTTTATATTTTTTTGTTCTATTTTTAAAGATTTGATTTTATTCCTAAAACTTTAGTTTATTAGATTTTTCTCAAATTTGGCCAGGCTTATCTTCCCCACTATACTTTTTCTACCACAGAGATAGATTTTACTCACTATTTTATATTTTAAATTTGTATAAAATATAACAAAATTAACTCTTAACTTCAGTCTAAATAATAACCGTTGTCCTATGCTTGCCGGCTCTAACTACGACGTCGTTCTGGCCGAGTCTGGTTGGAAAAGCTTTTTACTCGCAGCTTTTTTTATTTTTTTTTTCTGAGTCTATTTAAATATGTCGACTGTCTGACTAACACCTCACAGTTTTGAAATTCCCTCCATCAGACCACCTGCTTCCTTCCTTTCGTCATTCTTTCAAATTTCAGTCTCTGTTGCTCACTAGCCTTGCCCAGAGAGAAGTAGAGAACATAAGCATAACAGAAAGAGAGAATTAGGGAAAGAGATAGAAAAGAACAGACGGATCTGAAGCTCTTCTTCCTCGTCAATGTTGAGAGAGGAAGATAAGAATATCAGAAAGAGAGAAGGAAGAAGAAGATAAAAAAGAAGAAAGTTAAACTTGGTTATTTTCTAGCGTTCTGTTTTTTCTTCAGTTTTCGGAGAGCAAAGAAACAAAGAGAGAAAGAACAGAAGATCAGGAAGAGCGACGAAGAAGATCGAAAATAAGAGAGATGGGTTTCTCTTGAGGGACCAGCGGTGGCCGGAGGTGATTACTTATGCTGTTGATATTGATATATGATCGTTCATGGAGTTTGATTAATTTAGTTATTCTTTCATGGAATTTATTTATTTTTTCTAGTCTTTATCTCCTATTAATTCGTTCTTATTGTTTGATGTTTTTGGTTTTGATTAAAATTTTTTCTGTATTAATTCCAGTTCCTTCTTGATTTAAACATACCGGCACCTTCTTTAATTAGGGAGATTTCTTTTTTTCTTGTTTCTTTCTACCACCATTCTTGATTTGGACTTTTTAGACTTGAATTTTACAGAAAGGATTGCAGCAATTTTCTTGTTTCTTGATTTAAATATCGTGTATTAGCTTTAATAATTTTACAGACTGACTTTCTTCATGAAGTTTTATTTATTTGGTTCTTCTTCATGGAGTTCGATAGGGACTTTGGGTTCTGTTTTGCATAACTTCTTAATCTGGGTTTTCATAATTTCTCTTTTTTGAATTTTTTTTCTTTTATTTATTAGTTCTTCTTGTTTGCTGTTTTTGTTTTCCATAAAATTGTTTCTATGTTAATTCCAGTTCTTTCTCGTTCAAAACATACCAGCACCTTTCTTTAATTGGAGAGATCTATTTTTTCTTGTTTCTTTCTACCGCCATTCTTGGTTTGGATTTTTAGATTTGAATTTTACAGAAAAGATGGCAGTAGTTATCTTGTTTCTTGATTTAAATTTCCCATATTAGCTTTCATAATTTTATCTACTTACTCTCTTCATGGGTTTTCATTTCTTTC